GTCTACTGGTGGTTTTGGATTAGTTTTGTCCTGAGATTGGTGGACATTCTCATCCTTACTCAAAATGTGATTTTACTTATGTTAGTGGGTAGATACTTGGATTTTTGTTGGGTTTTTAGACTTGGCAGTTGCGTTAGTCTTAAACCCAACATTTCAAGTCTTTCTTGAACTCGGTTGATGAGCTTGTCTCCTTAGTCTCGTTTTGGGCAAGTCTGCCTTTTGGGTATACAACTTCAAAATTTCCTCAGTGGTCTAGTAAACTAGCTACTATGTAACATATTAAGCAATGCAAGGACCTCGATGTGATCATGTTGGGCTCAACCCAACGTGAATTACATTTTCTTATATTGGTTTTGTCAGCTGATCATAGGGAATGTAAATAAATGTAATTTTTATTTTTAATAGAATTTAATAAATATAAAGTATGTGGTATCATATATGAAATTACATGTAAATAGTTCAATGAATCTAATATAATCAAAACTCATGGCAAATTCATTAAATATAAGACAAACATATAAATAATATTTGATGAAATCTTAATTAATGATAGAATGCAAATTCAATAAAATATGCAAAACACTTTGAATCAATTAAATTTTTTGAAACTTTAAACCCTTAGTTTTAAATGATAGTGATTTTCAAAATAGCTTATTATCTTTAATTAATGAACTAAGGATATAATTAATTTGTAAAGCCTTTTAGAGAAAAGTTACATATATAATGGACATCTTGGGTTCAGTTAAATTTATTATTAAACATGTGATCCACGTCATGATAATGAGTGAATTAAGCATACTTGAACAATAATATGATAATAATTTTTGTACATTGAAAAATGTGAAGTAAAAAAAATAAACAAGAAATCAGTCTAATTAAAATCTCTTAAATTATAGATTATTTTTCTGAGTTTGAAATAAGCTATTTAATTTTCTAGCAATTTTATTGGAAGATATGAATCAATACAAATAAATGAAAAATTAATCCAAAAGAATTTCCCATAAATTTAAGATTAATTTTCCAATTTCCAAATAATTTATGAAAAATTCTATTAGTTCAACTTGAGTTTATCTATGATTTCTTAGGGGACGTTTAGTTGTAAATATTTTGATTTCAGGAGTATTTTAAATGCAGTGTAAAGCTAATGCAATATTTTAAATTACTTGAAGAGTTTTTTGATTAACGATAATGTTAATTTTGAACTTCGCTTGACTAAATTTGAATCCAAACTGTTAAGTACATTGATGTCAAAATTGTTCTCATCTTCTCCTCCTATCAATTCCTATCTATGACTTTGGCCTTTTGTCAAAATAGGCAATTATTTTTCTTGAACTCGGTTGCTCGAAAGAATTTTTCTTTTTGGCTGGAACAAACTGTAGCACTCCTATTTCGTGCTGATAAGGTAGAAAGTGAGTAGAAGAATACCCCACAATAGTGGACATGGGAGCGTGTTGGCTGGATTCAGAATTCAATGCGGGCAAAAAAACAAAAATAAAAAAATCCTTGCCAATGTACAATTCCACAACTAAATCCTTGGACCAAGGAAAATGAAGATGAGAAGATTCTTGTGGTGGAGACGAGCATCGTCGGTGCAGTGCGCTCAATAGTGGCAATAGTGAGGGTTGTAGAGTTTCTTATCACACTGGATTTGAAATTCCCCTTAATCAGGTGAGTTTTTTTAAAATTTCGGTGTTTGAAGAAAAACATATTCAATGTAACGTTTGGGAAAATTCCAAATGCACGAAAATGAAGCATGGGGTGAGTTTCAAATTCGTGGCTGGGTGTTTCAAATTCGTCAGCAAGTTAATTTGAATTTTTTTTTCCTTTAACCCAACACTTGAAATTTCAAAATTTAATTTAATTTTTTTTTACTCTTCACTCCTCATACTTCTCACCAGACAGCCTCTTACTAAAAATAAACTCAGTAAAATATATTGAAATCCAAGTACAACTCACTTTAAGCTACTATCAACTATAGATTAAAAAAATTGTCCAAGGAGCACGCCTCGAACTAAGTCACTAAAAAAAATAACTTAAAGTTAATTGTCATTATTATTAATGAGGCTTGAGTTTTTTTTTTCCCATCAGAGATGTATGCCTCCATTCTTTATTCCAAGGTGGCTGAGGTGGCATGTTAATTAATGAAAGTTTATTACTTTTTAGTATTATATAATATTACTTTATCTTATATTATAGAATGCCTAAACCCCAAATATATCTTTGTTTGGTTTTATGGCAAACACATTCACTTAGGTTTTGACTGCAGTTTTTGGTCATTTGTTCTTTGTCCCAATTGTGACAGCAAGAGAAGGGAGTATATAGGTCTAGAATTTGAGGTCTTATTCGATCATGAGGATGATCTAATGTGAATTAGAGTGTGGATGAGCGATTGTGCGAGAGTGGGAGGACGAGTAGGTGGGTGAGCAACTGCTAGTTTGTAGGGAGGTTTTTTTTAAAATTTTATATCAACAATTTATTTATCTTGCGTAGTATAGGATTTCACAGTTTGTATATGGTTTTCTTTATATATGGAGGATTTTTTTCCCTTCATTTTCTTCTTAATGTAGTCATATAAATTACATCTAGAATATTATATACTATTTAATAATTACATGAAAGCGACATTAATGATTTAGCCTTTATTTGTATGGATGAACTAAGAAAATATGTTGATGATTTGTCATATTTACGAATTTTTTAAAATTTTTGAGTTTTTATTTTTATTTTAAGGATTGTCTCAATCTACCCTGAAAACAAAATACCTCAGTTTGTATTTCCTCACTTTAAACCTTTCTATCATCTTGGAGCTTTGATTTTTCACTTCAATTTTCATGTTTTAAACGGTTGATTTCTCCTTCAAGTGAGCATTCCTATTAAGTTGCTTAGTCAAATAAACTAATTAATTATGTGGTTGCTTTAAAATGATTAACTTGCAAGCAAATAATTGCAAACCATTTGATGTCACCACATAAGGTTTGCATAATCAAATTAATGCTGAGCCGCATGAGTAACATGATTTTTTGGATTTAGCAAGAATTTAATAGTGTTGGAATTATATAAATGACGAGGATCTTCAAAATATTGGCTAAGGTGCCTTCTCATCAAGAATGAAGAGTACGATGAAATTCAAACTATTTTTTATTATTTATTTTTTTTATTTATTTTATGTTCTAGGTTATTGGACTATGCATGCTTAGTACATCTATCAACGCTATAAAGGGTCTATATTGCTCTTCATTGAGTGAAGCCGCTTCTTAAATTTCTTTCTTGTTGGAGTTGCATTTGTTTGATCCATGTCAATGAATTGTTATTGAACATTTCACAGGTTAAATGACTAATACCTGATTAGAAGTTATTTCCTACTCTGGTAAAGTTTAATATCCGTGCCATTCAGTATATTCTTTTATCATTGAGGTTTGTATTAGTTGAGCTGGATGTTACTTTAGGAATTAGGAATGTTAATATAATTCGAAAAAAATAATAAGTAATAAATAAATGAAATTTTAAAATGAAGATTTTATATGTTTACTTTGTTGTCATGTAATCTATAGATATTTTGTGTTCTACTATATGAAAACCTTATTACTGCACATGTCTGATAGACTTTTTGCTTACTTTCACTTGATATTAATTTGATATGTTTTCTTTGAAAATGATGGTAATTGAATACTAGTATGTTAAATCATATTGCTTACTGCTGGCTACATATTTGTCAGCTCAATTTATATCCTATAGAGCTCCATATTTCTTTTTTGAGATTTTCATTTGATTACATGAATCTTTTAAAAAAAATTAGGAGTTGTTTGGGATCACTTTTTATTTTTATTTTTTGTTTTTTCAACAGAAATATAAAAAAAGCATGTTTGTTCGGTGTTTTTTATCCTTTTTTTTATTTTGTTTTCAAACAACAGTGCCTTTTTTTGAAAAGCACAAAACAGGAAAAGCTTGTTATATTGTCTTTTTAAAACAACACCCATTATCTCGATCCTGATCCCAACCCCAACCCGGGCCCCGGTGCTTTCTTCGACGCCCAGGTGATGCAATGTCGATGCCTTCAATGTCAATGACGTCATTTCCTTCTTTGCTAGCGATGCTGATGCTGATGCCGATGCTTGCCCACGTCATCTCCCTCAACACCGCGGATTATGTCATCGCAGTTCAATTTCCCTGCTGAGAAGCTTAGACTCCTCTGCCACCATCTGCTTCCGGTGAATTCCTATTTGGTGAATGGAGGTAACAGAGAATCTCGACGTTCGAGCTTGCTGTCGTCAAAGTTGTGAGGAAAGAAGCACTGGATGGAGTTGAGGAATTCTTCGGAGCAGTGGTGGAGGAAAGCGTGGTTGGAGATTCATATGAGGGTGGATGGGGGGACACCGACAAAGGCGGCGTGGTTGAGGAGGTCACAGTCACTGGAGCGAGAGTAGTCATCTCCGGCGAGGAATTTGCTGGAGCAGTGGCAGAGGAAGGTGGGGGTGGAGGTGGAGGTGGAGGTGGAGGTGGAGGTGGAGGTGGAGGTGGAAGGAATTATTTTATTTTTCTATTTTTGTTTTTTATGGTTACAGACAGAAAATTAATGTGTTGCCGAACATGTTTTTGTTTTATTTAAAAAAAAAACAAACTAAAAAACAAAAACAGAAAGTGAAACAATCTCTTAGGAATCATTCAATTGAAAAATTAAAGCTTCACTTGAAATTTATTCCTGTGGATTAGTACTGATGAAGCTTGGTTCAAAATAAGTAGAACATTTGATGCATGCTATATTTGGACATTTGGTTTCGGGGGAATTCTGATACCTGCAGAATTGCTACACCTTGGAGTTTCGTTTATATTGATTCCTTGAAATATGTTTAGCCAAGTTAAATATGAAGAGATTTTCTATTTTTTTTCTTTGATTAATTGTGAAGTGGTATAATTTAATTTTACTAAATGTGATGTTATTTTGCTAGAAAGTTTGAGCTTCAGATTTTTTTTACTCTTTTAAATTTTCAATTCATCAATAGACGAATGCCTGGTGGTCGAAGGTTATGGGAGTCTAAGGATGACCAAGCCTGGGTTCATGATAGGTTTGAAGAGATGAACTTGCAGGATTGGCGCTATGAGGTAAATCACAATTATTTTTATGCTGTTAATTTTATTTTATTTATGCGTAAAGGATAGTGAATATCTTCTTTTATTTAAGTTAGCTTGTGGATTTCAAATCCACTTAAATTTGATGAGTTTTTAATTTCCAGGAAAGGAGGATGCGCAGAGGCCGTTTTCGAGGTCGCGGTACTGGGAGAGGAAGGGGTGCAGGTCGTGGTTATGGTAGGGGTAGTACACCACGAGCCTATCATGATGACAATAGGAACCAAAACCGTACTTTGAAATCTGTTAGGGGGAGGGGACCAATACGCTATGAACCGCTATCAAATAGCAGAGAGATTTCCTCAAATTCACCCAGGCAGTAAGCTATTTTACCATTTTTTCCTTTGTTCTTTTTTCTATTATTGTTAGTGCAACATGCATTCCTTGCATTATTTTTCAGGCACAGAAAAACTCAGGAGCAGACTTCAAATAATTCTACTGCAAAAAAATTCCCACAAATTTCGGATGCGCCGCCTGAGCCAGTTGCTCCTAGAAAGCAAGCTTTTGCCTCTAGTTTAAGCTCTGCCTCACCTCCCTTTTATCCTTCTGGCTCTTCCAATCAGGACATTTCTGCAATTCAGAAACGTGATTTGCAAACGGAAAGCAACAACAAGCCTCTTTCATCTACGGTACAGATGGAAAATTTACTCTCGGCACAGCCTGCCTCATTGTTCAGAGGGAAACCTATTATAGATTCTGTTGGCTTTGATAGACTACATCTGGATGATTCAGTTCACCAGGTTTCTGGAAAAGCTCTGGTTCATGCTCAGGCGCAGGCTTCTGGGTCTTCAATATCATTGTCAAATGCGAATAAGTCCCCACCATACAAAGTCCAAGGGAGAAATTCAACTCCTTCAATACCCAATCACCTAACCTCTTTTAACCAAGTTGCCAGGATACCATCGCAAAATCAACCTTCAATTGTTCATCAGAAACCTGTTCAAAGTCAAGGTCAAACTTCACAAAGAATTTCCACCCAGCTGGTGGGTCAGCATCTTGTTATTGCAAACCAGGTTATATCTTCACATCAGGCTTCTGTTAGTATTTCTTCTGAAGGAGAGGAGGCAGAATCATCTGCTGACCATAGTAAATCAAACTCTACTTTGGTTGGAAAAGGAAAAAATGTTAACCACGGAGCTGGAAGGGGCTCCTTTTTCTATGGTGGTGCTCAGGTTATTGGACCAACAGGGACTGTTGGTCTTCCACATGGTGACCCAAACTTTGCAGGCACCCCTGCCCTTTTGCCAGGTTGTATTTTTATTTTTAATTTTATTTTTAATCATTCTCCATTGACAGATTCGTTTTTGTTGATCATTGTTCATTCCACTCTCCTTTCAGTGGAGTTCATTTGGGTTTTTATAGAATAATTTTGGTATTTATGGATGCTGACATTTTTTTTACTGTTTCCATTAACAATGAAACCTTCCAATTTTTTAATCATGTTTTTCTTTTTTAATAAGACGTGTTTGTCTTTTTGATATTATTCTGTTTGTGCTTATTTTTGAAGTAATTACTGTTATGTTTAATTTTGACTAAACACTCTTTTCTTGCAGTAATGCAATTTGGAGGCCAGCATCCTGGAGGTATTCGGGTTCCAGCTGTTGGCATGGCTTTGCCGGGATATGTGGCCCAACCTGGCTTCGGGAATTCTGAAATGACTTGGTATGTAAGCCACACTCTTTTTACATATAATATGTATCTCAGCATAAGTTATTTGTAACTTTTATCCATGTGTCCTCATGCTTAAGCATTATGCAGTTGAAACTTGTATATCTGCTAGCCTTTTGTACAAAGCGATGACTAAGGAAAAATTGGTCTTCCTTTGATTCAACCTCGCCCTCCCTTCTTCACATAACCTTGCACCCTATGTAGCAGTAACACTTCTAAAAATGTGCCGTACTCTTGTCGGACACGTAGCAGACACTGATACTTGTCCGACACGTCCCAACACCATAAAATATATGTGAATTTCTTTCAGGCCAGAACACATCCGTGTCACATAGCAACAACACATCAGGTGTGAGTTTAATACGATTTCGAGAAAATGGGACATGAGTATTAGAAAATTATAAAATATACTATCGAGCATCGAAGGTGCATCAAAATTCATAAAAAAACGACTATTAGTAATTTCCTCTTTGTTATAGGATTTTTTATATTTTAGTAGATAAGTTGAATTATAAGTTGGATAATTTTTTTTTGAAACATTATATTTAATTTTAAAAATTTATTTTTATAAGCCCGTGGTTTTATAATGTAAATTAAATATATTAAGTTAAATTTTATTCTTGTATAATTTGTGCTGTGATGTTTTTAGTAAAGAATAATGAATGCATATATATTTTATATTACTAATTAATTAAATATAAAAGCATGTTCATGACGTGCCGTGTCGTGTTCTATTTTTTTCAATTTTCTTGTGTCTTCGTATTGTGCTGTGTCGTGTTTGTGTCCCCATGTCCGTGCTTCATAGACTGCACCTTATATACATATGCATAAATAAGATTAGGTAGAATATATATTCATAGCATTGTCATGGCTATGCAATTATTTTTTATTTATCCATTTTGCCTCAGAAATGTTGACTTCCAGATCTGTTTTCTTGAAAATGTCAGGGTTCCAGTTTTAGCAGGTGCAGCTGGTACTCTTGGAACAAATTATTGTTCACCCTACATAGCTCTTGATGGTACTTATTATGCTCGACCATCAGGACAGGCCTCTACTTCTGTCTCTTCTTCCATGTAAGTAGTGCTTAATGGTGTTCCTTTTTCATTTGGTGTTGCTTTCATTCTATTTGCTTCCACAGTTCAATCTCTCGGTAGAAATTTTGTTTACCGGAACCTTTTGATACCCTTTCATGATGAATTTGCAATTTAATTGCTCTGCAACTTAGTTACAAAGAGCTGTTTATACTATCGACGGGAAAGTTGTTAATTTTGTACTAAAATAATTAAGGTTGATTCGGCCATCTTTCTTAAGATGTGGATATTTTGCTCTATTTATAGGATAAGTAATGCTTAATTTTACAAAAAATAGCTTGCAGTTTAATGAATTCCCATTGTGAGGTTTGTTGGATGACCAAAATGTTCTTATGCATGCTGCTTCTCTTCAATAAAATTTGATTTGTAAATATTTATGTGGTGATGAGATTGTTCTTTATATGTGACAGCGTGGCCTTTTGTTTAAGAAGATAGTTGTCATTTCCATTCTAATTTTACAAAAATTTTAAACTTGTATGTGAATATTTTTTTATGCTGAACTTTTTATGAATTAAAATTGTTGAAGTGCCATTGGATCAATAAAGTCTAGATGAGGAAAATTAGATACCATTGGCTCATTGCTTATATGGAAAGTCCTCTTTTATGGATTCATATATAAAAAAAAGGAAAGAACGGGTCTGTTGATTGCTCTCTTGGCATCAATTGGAGATCTGTAAATATCGAACAGTTGATAGCTAAAGGTTATTTTTATGTAATTATTTTTGTTTTATTTGTACTATTTTATATACCCATTAAAAGAATGATCAAGTTATACTTTTCTAGCCACTTATTCATTCTGATATTTGGGTAACATCCAATATTCTCAATATATCTGGTGCTAGGAATTTCAGGTCTGGGCCTCGCTCATGCTTGGCTGTCCACTTGAGATTTCTCTTAAAGCCACTCAAAGGCACCTTAGATCATTGCTTTTACACCTTTATTAGCATCTTCTAAAGTCTTCTCATTCCAAATAATCTATCACTACAAAGCAACCTCAGCCCCCTCATTGGGAATGCTAATAAAACATCAACATTCATTAAGAAATAAAATTTCTATTGCTTGGCCCTTGGATTTGTTTATAGAATTTATGATCCTTGCAATAAGAACATCAAAATTTTCTTTGAATATACCTTAAATTGATAAATATTGCTATTGCAGCTGACAATTTACACAAGTAGACATTAAAACATAAAACATTTAATGCATAAATACAACATGATGGACAAACATTAATTCATGATGACCAATCATTGGCTCTCTTGGAGTGCAGAAAACTGTAGAGTATTGGATGATGCTAGAGGAAGACATGTTGTTATTGAATTGAAATCCATGTTCACGGACCTCGAGAAACATCAGATAAAAGTGATCCTTCCAGAGGTAAAATAGGTCATTAGAATCACCATATCATAGGAAGAGAACAGTGGTTAAATAAAATAAGCATCATATTGTGCATAATGATTCTCAATTTAGATATTTGAAAAGCCCAAACAACTATTCAAATGAAATCTCTCAACATTTGGAAGTTTTGAAGCAAAATATAGGAATGCTTGACAATAAAAGAGATGATGAAAGTAGAGCCAAGAAGATCAGGCTAATTTGTCACGCTTTTATTTATTTCTTTAATTTTCTTTTCTTATTCATCTGTCCTTTGCATAGGTCACAGCTCAGTTTGGATCCAAGTTAGGCTAGGAATCACATACACTTTCTAATATCTACTGCGTTTGTGTTAGATAGACAGTGGATATGGACAGGTCTACCGACCCCCCTAGCACATGCTTGGCATTTTCAAATTTTCTTTTCCAAAGCATGTGTGGCAGATATGGCTCAATATGGTTTGGACTTGTCTTGACATGCCCAATTACACGTATGTGAGGGGCAGCCTATTTGTGAGATAACACTACATACACAAAATAAGCGAGAACTAATAATGATTATTGATTGCTAATATAGAATGTTAACTAATGAAAATTGACATATGTGAAAAGCATTTATTTAATTATGAATAGTTTGATTTTTAGGCGTGGGTCATAATTTTTTGGGTGGTCTGTGGGTTTTGGTACGCACTTTTAGGAAGGTATGGTAGGATTGATTAGCTTGCCATATTTTGTAAATTTTGAAAAGGTTTAGTACTATTATTTTGGATAAGCAGCAACTCGAAGTGAAAACAAAAGATTTGATCATGTGATTGCGTAAAAAAATGAAAAATGGAAATTGAAAATAAGACAGGAATTGAATCCTATTTTAGGAATGACTATTCGTTAAAATTGGAAAAATTGTCTTCTAATTTGTTAACATTACATGAATTTGTTATGGAAGACTTGGAGGGAGGAAATTTAGAAGAAAAATGATTGGTTTCGTAAGTATTGTCGAGCGGGATTCTTTCCAGAAATGAATGGGTTATTGTAGGTTGTTATTAGAGTATCTAAAAGCTTGTTAGACGCTGGAGAACTCCAGCACAATATAAATCAAAGGAGAAGTTCAAATGTAACAAGAAAATCTGCGACAGTAAAGACGGAAAATATGTGCTTGAAGATAGTAAATAGCAACAGTAACATCGTAAAACTACAAACAAAAAAAACTCAGGAAAACTAGTAATATTGATATCTTTCAGTGTTTTAAGGATGGTTTATGAATGGAAATTGACTTGAATCTTTTTAAGTTTGGAAGCATGAATTATGGAAGGGAAAAGATTTAATTTTGGCAGGGATTATTGAAGGGGTAAAGCTGGGGGTTCAAATGAAACAAAATTTTTTCATTATCCATGATATTTGAACTTGATTCTTTATTTAAAATACAAAAAACTTCTTTTTAACACTTAATATAATAAAAAATATATTCTTAGATGACATGAAACTATTACCTACTTGACAGTTGTCAAATAGAATATTAAGGATATTTAATATATAAAAAATAAGGCTTACCTACCCCATGGATCTCTCTTTAATGAGAGTTTCAATGGGTTGATATATGCAACGTCACCTATGCATTTATGAAGGGAAATGTTAAAAACACAAAAGTTATCCCTTTAAACTTTTTGCAGTCCTTATTTAACAATTTATCTTGTAAAATATGTCCATTCTATTGCCTTGCAGTCCTTATTTAACGATGTATCTTCGTTGCTTTTTAATCCAGCAAAGAAAGTAGTGGAGCTAAACCTGCTAACATGTTGAAACCTCCTCAGAAAAGTGGTAATATACTGTAACAATTTTATTATTATCATTATTTCAGTTTTATATTATTGTTCGCCATTTTATTTTTAATATAAGTATTGACATCAATATAATTTTTTAAGAGGTTGTAAACGATGAATTTGGTCAACGTCAAAACAAGCCTCGTAGGTGAGTGCAGATATTTCCAATCTATACTTCATGCTTTAGCCTTCTGAACAGAGCATCGTTTATTCATTTAATTTACATTTAATACTTCCAGGTACTCAGAGATGAATTTTGGCCAGTGAAGTACATATAAGATTTTCTTATATTTGAATAAGCAGCTTAAGGTTAACCGTCTGGTTTAGAATGTATTTTTTTAAACTCCGAATGACTATTCCTTTTCATCTACAATGTGTACCTTTGTGTTTTTAGTTCCATCGGAGACCCTCTGTGATCTTCAGTTTGGATCTGAAGCACTTTGGGGTGTTTATATCATGATGGAATGCTAGGTAAGAACTGTTGTCTTTGTTTAATGCCTTTTTCTGAGTATTTTGTTTCATTTTTAGCCTTTCCAAACTTACCGTTTCTTTTGTTATAGTTGAAAGGAATGAATTTTTTTTAGTTACCCCTTATAAGTGAGTTATCAGGGCATGATGCGGTTTTACTGGAACTTGAAATAGTATGATATATAGGTACATCCTAGTGTCCTAGGAACCAAAAAAGGGGTTGCACAAAGTTGTGGCTCAACCTTTTGAGCGTGGGTTGTGACGGCACTTGCTTACATATCGTGCATGTTATTCACTTAGGATAGCTGGTTTAATGGATTTCATGCCTGCTTGACCACAACGGGCATTCCCAGCTTTTCATAAATTAGAATGCTGCTGTTGTTGTATCAATACTTTTTTTTTTCTTTTGCGAGTACAGATAGCATAGCATTGTTGTATTGAAATAAAAATAGTGAAAGAGTCGGTTGCAATAACCCACTGAAACTATAAGAAAATGCATTTAAGAAAAGGGGTGGCTCAACAAAACACAAATATAATTGAATGTCCAAACACGTGCAGACAAAGAAGTATGCTGTTTGACGTAAGACTTGAGACAAATCTCATAATAGAACCATTGCTCAGAAACCAAACTTTATAGAAGAAGATTCTAAACAAGAATACTCGAACAATTTAGTTGTGCATGCCGAGCAGGGGCTAAAGGTCACTAAGAATATACAATTTTCATCTTACCCCTTCATCATTCCGACTAATAATTATGACAATGTATGAAGGTAAGAGAATCAGGCCCAAAATATGAGAAATTTCCTCTGACTACCAAAGTATTGAAAGTAAAAACTCCAAAATATCTTAGAATAACAAACAGTCCTCAAGCATTCCTTATTCGCTAAATAAAAAGCTCTAACCCAAGTTATAATGAGGAATCCATAGAACATATATGATAACATGAATCAAAACCTAGACTGGGTGAACTTCTTCCGCACATTTTAAAACCAACCTATAATATGGATTTGATTTTGGTTTCCAAGTGTACCAACCCTAAATCAAAATCCTATAATATAGATATAATACTTTTGTGTGTGCATGCTTTTACGTCCACGCACATGCTTGGGTTGGGTGGTGTCGTTACTGATTTCAACATGAACTGTGGAAAAACTTGAAAAATAGTGAATAACATGAGAACAAGATGATGGCTAAACATCACCTGGGTTTTGGATGGACCGAAGCCTCCCGAAAGAAAATAAACACATGTCTAAAAATCCTTTTGTTCTCAGCCCACACCAAATAACTCCTATTTATAAAGACCCGACTCTCTGAATTACAAGTATATCATCCTAAAACATAGAGACAAATAACTAACTAAAACAAAAAAAATCAAGACAGAAACGGAAATAAAACACTGAAGTAAAGCTCGCATTATTCTCCTGGAGGTTGCAAGGTTCCCTCATATTGAGTCGACTCGGAATCTAATTCATAATAAGCAACCAACTGGAAGCATTGAAGTGATGGAATCGCTAATCCCAAGGTTGGTCAAGTTCGGTGATCCAAGCATCTTATAACATTGTCACTGTTGAAACTCGATCAAGTCATTTCTAGCTCTAATGTTAAGGTATCTCAATCCACTTGACATCAATTTCTAGAGAACGATGACTAATAGATGCAATTTCTGCTTTAAGACATTCAACTTGTCTCATATCAGGGTCAGAATGCAATGACTAGTTTTCAAGCTTGGTTGCTGTTGAAGCAATGATGTCTGATCCTTATGATCTTGAATGTTAGTCTGATGCTGATGACTGAGAGAATCAAAATCAACATTTCAACTAGTTTGATCACTATGCAAATCCCTCCCATCATGAGAATTTTCACTATCAGTTTTTCTATCTACTGCTTGTTCAAAATTTGTCACTCCGAAAATTGGTCGCCCTCCTGAGCATTTTCACAATAGAAGCTGAAAATTTGTCATCATCATACATGTACAATGGCATTGACATTGTTTCCAACATTGACTCTTCAAACCCATTGAAAGTTGAGGCTTCTCTATGAAATAGATTTTCATTTCGTTTCTCAAGAAGTTTTATTTCTTGATTCGTCCAATTTTTTCGGTGGAATGGTTCTCTTGTTCCTTGCCTATCACCACATTTTTGGATTCATTTTGACATTCTCCTGGATCACGTTGTTCAGGAACCGCCAATTTTCTTGTAAACGATGAGTTTCTCGGTGGAAGTCTTCTATGTCTAATTCTTGAGCTAGACGCACATTGTTTCTTCCAGCAGCATCCTGATTTTCCTTTCCTGCTATTTCGGTGGAAGGTTGTAAAGGAGAGGAAGGAGATGAGTTCTCAGGTGATCTGCAATCAAAGGTAGGTTGTAGGAAACACTGTAGGGAAGATCAAAAAGATGGAAAATTGGGACCAAAATCTATTGATATGGAATTCCTGCACACAGAACCTTTGGATTTCTTGCAGGCAGAACCGCAAGATTCCAAACAGATCTAAAATCCAGGAAATAAAAAGTTTTGGCAGAAATCCATAGGACAACAAAGGATAAGACTGGACCGCTTCATGATTGGATCGAAGGTAGGTTATAGGAAACACCGTAGGGAAGATCAAAAAGATGGAAAATTGGGACCAAAATCTATTGATATGGAATTCCTACACACAAAACCGGAAGACACTGATTTTTTATTTCTTGCATACAGAACAACAAGATTGCAAACTGATCTGAAATCCAGAAAATAAAAAGTCTAGGCAGAAATCCACAGGACAACAAGGATAAGACTAGATTGCTTCATGATCGGATCAAGAAGTCTCAGTTCAACCTACGATTGATGGTAGATTTTATAGAGAGCAGTGTAGTGATGTGGAGGTGAGAATTAAGAACCAATTTTGTACGAACTGGGCTCACGAAATCTTCACCCGATCCACCAACAAATCTTAGGAGGACCCTAACTATGATCTCAATCAAGTCAAGAAAGTTTTCTATGCAAGAGCCCCAGAGCTGTAATACCAAAATTATACCCGATCAAATTGGGGTAATCACTAATTGCAGCAAGAACAATGAAAATAACTGGGAAAAATAATGAATAACATGAACAACAAGATAATGGCTAAAATCATTTGGGCACCAATTCAGAATACAGTTGCAGGGCAAGGTTTGGATGGTTCAAAACCTTCGAAGAAAAATAAACACAATTCTAAAACTTCTCGTTCTCAGTCCACACAAAATAACCCCTTTTTATAAAGGCTACACTTTCTTAATTATAAGTATGTCATCCTAAAATATAGAGACAAATAACAAATTAAAACACATAAACGAAGACGAGCTGAAATATAAAAAAGTCTAGCTCCCACGTCACTAACAAAGTAATGAAATGCCCAAAAAAATGAACTGTTAACATCTTAATACCAAATTTTGTGATAGAAAATGTTACATAAATATCAAACTATAAAAGATAAAATAAGATATTAAAGTAAAATACTAAAACGTAATTAAATAATAACTAAAATATGTTTCAAGTGTTCAACATATATGCATCTCTTTGGCACTCATATTAGTCCATCACTTGAGTAAACATAACTAGCTGTAAAGTTTAGAATCTTTAAAGTCAAGGAATGTGGGGTGGGTGCAGAGGAGTAGCGACAGCTGCGACGATAGGGAATGCAGAGTGTTGGTGGTTGAGATGATGCGTGAGTGCTATCGAGAGTTGCATTGGGGGGCATGAAGGTTGATTGATATAATCATTTATTTAAGATTTGTAAAAAATAATTTTTACTAGAATTGTGTACACCTCAATTATAGTGAGGGAAAGGGTGCCTCAACATGTGTGAGGCTTAAGCCCCATATTGGTAGAATGAGGTGTAAGCTTTATTGGGTTTCATTTGGGAAAAATCTGAATGACATTTCATAACTCAAGTGTGTGTACACGCGCGCGCGCGCACACACACACATGTACGTACATATACATACACACGCACACCAACACACACACCACACACACATGTACGTACATATACATACACACGCATACAATAATGCACACGGGTGCACACACACCAACACACACGCACGCACACACACAATCATACATACGCCTTGTTACAACTCTGCTATTAATCTACTATTAAAATTTTATTTTATGTATCAATTTTAGATCTACTCAAACAAATGACTTTAGACTCTAATGTAGACATTCATGATTTAAGTTTTTCGTGAACTCTTTCTCTCGTCTTATCCACAAGAAGAATATCATTAGCAAAAAACATACACCAAAGTATCCTTCCGTAAGTGTCCAGTAAGAGCATCCAAAACTAAAGTAAAAAAGATATGGGCTTAAAATCGATCCTTGATTTATATATTATTAATTTTAGATCTACTCAAACGAAGGCATACACCATAGTACATCCTCCCGTAAGTGTCCAGTAAGAGCCTCCAAAACTAAAATAAAAAAGATATGGCCTTAAAATCGATCCATGACCTAATCCTACTATATAGGAAAATACTTGGTCAATCCCCCGTCTCTTTGAACAGGAGTAACAACTCAATTATACATATCTTTAATGACTTGAATATAAGTCATATCAATGCCTTCCTTTTTTAGAACTCTCCAAAGAACTCGTAACCCTTTTCTAAATCAATAAAAATATTATGTAGATCCTCTCTAATCTATCTGTACTTTTCCATCAAACCTCAATAAATATATGGCTTCCATAGTAGACTTTTTCGACAAATCCAAACTGATTATGAGAAATCTTTTATAACCTTTTAACCTATATTCAATTATTCTCTCCCATAATTTTAATGCATAACACATTAATTTAATTTCTCTATAATTTGCACACTCTCGCGCATCTCCTTTATTCTTAAAACCGGGGACCAAAATCTATAAAGCACAGACACAGATACGGAGACACGACACAATGCGATATGACGACACGATATATTTGAAAAAAAAATAGAATATGAAACGTCATAAACTCGTTTTTTATATTTAATTAATTATTAATATTAAATATCTATTTTCTATTATTCTTTATTAAAAATATCATAACACATTTAAGAATAAAATTTATATTTATATTTTAAAACGTCATGCTTATGAAAATTAATTTTTAAAATTAGATATAATATGTTCCAAAAGGATCCATCCAATTTATGCACTAAAATTTAAAAAATTCTATGATTACAAAAAGGTAATTACTAATGCTAAGCTTTGACAAGCATTAGATGCATATTCGATGCTTAATTTTAATAAATGTTAGAAGGAGCTTCGACAGGATGAGAGATGAGGCAATTTCAACTATGAGGTATAATTAAGGCTATACATATAGTTTTGATTTTTTCATTATCTTGTCCAATCTTCTCAAAATTGTGTTAAACTCACGTGTTATGCGGATTTGAGTGTCCCAGACGTGTTCGAGATATGTGTAGTGTTGAAGAATTGTCGGGGCGTATCAGAAAAACGTTGGGGCATATCGGTGTTCGATGTGTCCGACACATTTTTAAAAATGTCAGTGCTACTTAGACCATAATACTCTTCCTCCTCTCCTTAGGCATTTTTTTAGTTTTTAAAATAATATTAAAAAGTTTACTAAGCCAAGAAACCCCTAAATTTCCTAAATATTTTCACATTTCTATTGTGGTACCTAAATCTCCTTGGGCATCTTTTTAGTCTTATTGATTTTTAATTCTTAGTGTTCTTTAAAGCCTCATTAACTTCTTTTTTACTAATGTGGCGGTAAAAATAAAAGAAAATATATTATTTTTAATGATATTAAGATCACTAAGTAGATTGTATTTTCAAAAACTTCATTAGAAATATTAGTAAAATATTTCACCCATTTATGCTGAATAAATTCTCTAAGAAAATTACTTTTTGAGAAAATCACTTTTTGATATTCATTTTAATACAATTTACTTGAATTAAATCTTTACTTTTTTTTATTTGACTAATTTTTACATATATCTTGCACTATCTTTAGTATCTAATCTCTTATAAAGATCAATAAAAGCAGAATTCTTAACATGATAAATTGTTCTATGACACTCTTACAAACCATCTTATATTTCTCCTAGTTCTCTAAGCTTTTTTAATTAAACCAATTTTTATAACAAAATTTCTTATGTTTTTTTTTTCTTCCACATTACTCAACCTACTATTTTTATTTATGAAACTTTTTTCCTTTTGATTCCCCTAATACATCTTCTCCACTTTTTTAATAGTGTTTGTTACTTATCCCACATAAAATTAGCTTCTTTATGAACATTCTAAATCTTGAAATCTTGAAGTTTACTCGTAAAAATAATTTTATTTGTCTTTTAGGTGCCACTTCTAAATATATGACAATGTTTCATTGTATTTTTCATCTTCTAACTTTTTATCTTAAAATTTAGAACTAATAATTGATATTGAGCTCGTAAATTTTCACTTGAAATGATGAAACAATGAACCAAAATCCAACAGTGAATTGAATTGAACCTTCATACATATTAGAGAACATACTTTTTTTCAATGAGGCTCCTCACATCATCATTAGAGAGGCATGTTATATGCTAAAACAAGGACGTAAAATAAAACGATGGAAATAAAACAACATAAGATGGAATTATAAAACCAGAATGTCAATTATACTCATCTCAGTGCTCACATCCTCTGCTTCCAATGTCTAAACATTCAGATTTTCCTCACTGGCTTTCATAGATATGCTCTGTTTTGCTCCATATATCTATTCTCAGAAATTCAGTCTAATGATAAAAACTTCGGTATGCTAGCAACATGCCTTAAAGAAGCACAGCTTAACTGCTTTAATGTTGGAGGATGGATATTATTTTCTGTAATAACGATCTCCCATTCTGATTTTGCACCATGCAGGTTAACAACGCCTGCTGACGAGCCGCAGAACGATGCAGTGTTGTGGTTGGGCGGTTCGACGTAGAGTTCGACTTAGGGTGGGTTTATTTTGACGATTCTTATCGTTGTTCTATTGACCATCACAATGCAAGTAATGTTTTTTCGTGCTTTTAATTCTTTCTGCGTTCTTCCGCCTCAGGTTCCAGTGCAGTGAAATGTTATTTTGTTTCTTGGTTTTGCTGTGTGTTTGTTGACAAAATAAGTAGCAGAGTGCCTGCTTATATTTGTTTATATTTGTGCTGAACCTCCAGTATTTCTATCTTTTATTCCAATGCAGTTCTATTTCGAGTGGTGGCTTGCCGTGTGTAACAAAACATCTTGTGGTTGAGAGCTTAATTTTCTTTAGTTGCGAGCTTCTGCTTCGTATAGTTTTAATGCAGCAAGGAGATTTTGGTTAAAATTATAAAAGTATTATTTCAGAAGTTCATAAATATGCAATTATTTTTCACGTGTAGGGGAGCAGAGGTTTCTGAGTTAAAATTAGTGAGAACATAGAGATGTGAAGAAATTTATGTTTGAGATATGGACGAATCACCACTGGTAATGAATATTGTTTCATCATTATTACATGATTATCTTTATTGATTATCACTGTGCAAAAATGTGTGAATGATTATCTTCCAACCCCACTTAAGTTGTTATTTGATCTTTATTATTTGAATGTAATCATCCTTTATTACTTCTGTAATAGTCTTTTATAAGTACATTAAATCTAGCCATTAAGTTTAACTTCTTAATAATTGAATTAAACAGCAGATTTCTGATAAGGAGCATAATTAATTATATGCTAATAAATTAAATGACATTATTATTTTTCTATTAATTTTGTATGATGTATTGAAAATATATATTAATTTTTATTAATTCTAAATTATTTGAGCTAATTTTAAACCATATATACCAATTTCAAACCAAAAAAAAAAAAAAAAAAAAAAAAATGAAAAGAGTCGAACACGAACAAACACTGAGTTCGCTCAAATTCAACTCAATTGCACCCATACGAGGGAGCTACTGAAAGTTTCTAGGTCACTGTTAATTTAATTCCCTACCAAATAATTGAAAATTGATAAGTAAAAGGTATTACGAATTTACGCAAAATGACAATCTAACAATAATAATATATTAATTAAACATATTATTATTTCCACATTGTATCTGAAATTTTAGGGGCTGTTTAATTCACAAATATCTGCCTCATATAATCATTATTTAATTTGTCGACTCCTTTAAATATTAATTTTTCAAATGACGGTTATGTGTAGATGAAATTTGCCAACATTTTATGCTAAATAAACGATCATAAAAAAAAAGAAAAATTTTATTGCCAAAATATAGAAATGAGCACCAAATTTATTAGCATATGAGGAAGGAGCTTCAAAATAAAAAAATTGATAAGGAGCATAAACAAACCGCAATGGTGGCGTTTTCATTTAACTTTGCTTCAAAATAAAAAATTAATTATTCAATGTATCATATATTTTACTATAAATAATAAAATATTAATACATATGTATCATTGTTATAAATAAAATTGTTAATTACTTTTTACATTAATGAAAGCATTAAATTTGTTACTTTTTATATTAATTCATATTTAGTTAATATTAAATTATTAAAAAAAAACATAATTGAAAAAAATGAAATAACTAATGATATATGAAATTAATAGAAGTTATTTAATATTATAATATTCTAGTAACGTCATGTTTACGAGAAATACTTTCTATGTTGGGGTGGAATGATGTCTAGGGCTGTCAAAACGGCTCGTTGTTCGCGAACGGCTCGTGTTCGGCTCGTTAATTTTGTTTGATAAGTTAACGAGCCGAACACGAACTAAGATGTGTCGTCGTCTCACGCGTCCGTGCTTTGGTGACGTCGTCTGCGGCAGAGAAGACGTGACGCTGCGTCGTCCCGCAGCGCCGCTCGCTAGAGTTTCGCGGGCCTTAGCTCGCCTGCGGTCGTCGTTCCTTCGGGCCCAGCAACGCAAGTCTCCTCCTTCGCGCCCTACGACTCCACCGTTGCTTGCGCTATTTCGTTATTTCGTGCCCTGAGACGAACTGCGGCGTGCGCTGTTTGTGCTGATCGACGACGTCTGAATGGCATCAGTGCGTTCCTACGCCGCAGCCCTCGCCAGTGATAACCCCGTCTCCGCCCCTTTTTCTAATATGTTTCCACAACGATACCATGACAATTTTGCGCTTGGCATTGAAACCAGATTTCTTAAAAAAACTTCCTGTAAAAACGACAAATATGCAATCTTTCTCACTGAAGCAGAGATCTCCACCCTAGCCGCGCCCGGCCGA